TAAAGTGTGATTATATATATACTACTACTTTTTAATCACACTTTTTAAATAAGTGTGATTATATATATATTTTTTAATCACACATTTTAATTAAAGTGTGATTATATATACATTACTATTTTTTAATCACACTTCCTAAATAGGTGTGATTGTATAAAATATTTCAATTTGATTTTTATATAAAATATATAATTCTCAAATCCGCGCCTCTATTCTACCCATGAATGATAGAGATGACTCACTACTAGAAAATGAGGCTTTAGACACGGAACTTTTTCACCCATTTTTTCATCTTTCTATCTCTCTGTCTCTGTCTCTCTTCTCTCTTTCTCTCTCTCACTCATCACTCTTCTCTGTCTGTCTGTCTGTCTCTCTTTTTCTCTCTTTCTCTCTGTCTATCTCTCTTATCACTCTCTGTCTCTCTTCTCATTATCTCTCTGGCTCATCTCTCTCTGTCTCTCTCTCGTTTATCTCTTTTCGCTCTTTTTTTCTCTCCCTCTCTCTTTGTCTATATCTTTTCACCCATTTTTTCATCTTCCTCTCTCTCTTCTCTTTCTCTCTCTCACTCATCACTCTTTTCTTTCTGTCTATCAGTCTCTCTCTCTGTGTCTCTCACTTATCTATCTCTTCTCTCATCTCTTTTCTCTCTCTCTCTCTTTCGCTCATCTCTCTTCTCTCTATCTCTCTCATCTTTCTCTGTCTCTCTCGCTCATCTCTCTTCTCTCTCTCTCTCTCTCGTTCATCTCTCTTCTCTCTCTCTATCTTTTTTCTGTCTCCCACTCTCTATCTTTTTGTCCCTCTCTCTTCTCTTTCTCTCTCTCTTTCTCTCCCACTATGTTCGCGTTGCTCACTCTCTCCCTTCTGTCTTCTCTATTTACTGAGCTCCCTTTCGATTTATCTATCCACTATAAGAAAATGCACTTTTAGCGACCACTTTGTCTCTTTCTCGCTCATCAGTCTGTCTTTCTCTCTTTCTCTCTCTTTCTCTCCTCTATCTGTCTCTCACTCATTTTTCTCTCTCTCACCACCCATCTCCTTTACCACCTTCACCACTACTGCAAACGCCATTCCACTACCACCATTACTACCACTGTCGCCACTTCACCTCTACGACTACCATTGCTACTACCATTGCCACCACTACCACTGCTGCCACTATTACTACCATTACCTCTCGTTCACCCTTGCCACTTCATCTACTCTACCACTACCATAACTTCACTAATCTCCTTCGCCACCACCACCACCACCACTACCACCACCATCATCTCTTATCTACCACCTTCACCAGTACTGCCACTACTACTACCATTACCTCTCATTCACCCTTGCCACTTCATCTACTCTACCACTACCACAACTTCACCATTAATCTCCTTCGCCACCACCACCACCACTACCACCACCATCATCTCTTATCTACCACCTTCACCAGTACTGCCACTACTACTACCATTACCTCTCATTCACCCTTGCCACTTCATCTACTCTACCACTACCACAACTTCACCATTAATCTCCTTCGCCGCTACCACCACCACCAAAAAAAAAAAAAAAAAAAAGAAGTTAAACGACATTATTTTGTTATTTAAATTTCATTTCTGACAAAAATTTTTTTTTTTTATTCCCGCCTATTTTTGTTTTCCATTCCCGCTCTATTCTCTCTCTATCTCTTCTATCCGTCTCTCACTCATCTCTCTCTCTCTCACCACTCATCTCCTCTACCACCTTCACCACTACTGCAAACGTCATTCCACCACCACCACTACTTCCACTGTCGCCACTTCACCTCTATGACTGCCATTACTACTACCATTACCTCTCCTTCACCCCTGCCACTCCATCTACACTACCACTACCACAACTTCACCACTAATATTTTTCGCCACCACCACCACCACCACCACCATCATCTCTTATCCACCACCTCCACCACTAATGTCGCTCCCTTTCCTCTACCACAAAAAAATAGTTCACGATTTTTACTAACCAAAAAAAATAGGCCGTAGAAAAATATTTTTCATTGACCATAGAAAATAAACTTTTATTTTAGTGGAAAATATTTTTCATTAAAATATTATCCATACTTCTACCAAATAAAAAATAATAATAATATTTTTTTTAATTAAAATAAAAATGAAACAAATAAATTTTCTTAGTAACTAAAAAAAATGAAATTTCTTTCATTAACTACAAAAAAAATTTATGTTAACAAAAAATAAATTTTTTTAACAACAGCAACCCGCGTCACAAAAAAAAGAAGAATAGTTAAACGGTATTATTTTATTGTTTAAATTTTATTTGTGACTCCCAAAAAAAAAAGATTTTAATTTTTTTTTATCCACCCCCCGTCTCTCTCTCTCTCTTTTTTTCATTCCCGCTTTTTTTTTTGCCATCCCCCCCCCCCTCGAGCGCAAAACCAAAATCCCTAATCTCAACATCACTGTCTCTCTTACTCTCTCGTTTCTGCACCGATCACCCTCTCACTCTCTCGTTGTTCATCTCATCGCACCGATCATCATCGCACAACCGATATAGCGACCCCGGTCTTTTTCCCATTTGATTATTGTATTCTCCCGATCGTTGATTTTTTTTTATTTTATATATATATATATATATCTCTGATCTGACCTAATCAGCTCCCTCACTCTCTCATCTCATCAGTCTCACACTCACTCTCTGGTTTTGCATCTCGGCACCGATCGACTCACACACAGGTAAATATGAATCAGTCTGTTAATCTGTGTTTGTTTTGGCACACCGATCGACTCTCACACTCACTCTCTATGTTTGTTTTGGCCTCTATTTGGAATGTAAATATGAATCTGTTATTAATCTGTAAATATGAATCTGTTTTGGCCTCTATTTGGAATGTAAATATGAATCTGTTTTGATCTTAGTTGTGTCTTAGTTGAATCTCTTTGTTTTATTAATTGTGTTGTGCCTGTTATTAAATCTGAAATCAGAAAAAATAGGTGGAATAATTTTGGTCTCTAATTGGGGAATTCATATTGTGTCTGTTATTGAATCTGTTTTGGCATCTAATTGTGTCTGTTATTAATTGTTTTGTTTGGAATTCAGATTGACCAACTAGGTGGAATTCAGAAAAAATAGGTGGAATAATTTTGGTATGAATCTGCCTGTTAATTTTGGTATGAATTTAATAATAGGTGGAATAATCTATATGAATCTGTCTGTTATTAAATGTTTAAGAAAGTTCTCGCCAATAGTGATGAAAATAACAGAGAAAAGTAGTATCCAGAACAAAATTGATAATGCTGACTGACTAAAACGATTGAGTAAGCACTACATAACTTGAAGAAAAACATGAAACATGATTAACTATAGTTAGAAAACTATTTTGTTGAGTGCTTTCATATTTAAAACATTTAGGGAAAATTGACCACTGACTTTTAGAAGACTTGATCACTGATGGCTCCCAAAAAAAATAAGTTCATTATATATTTGGAAAGATAATGAACAGGCCAAATCTTAGTGGATTTGTTGCCCTCCATGCCATATTGGTCATGAAAAAGTCACGCAATGTTCAAATAAGTATTACCAGCCTAGATTAGAGGCTTATATCAAACTCCAGCTACGTTCCCCAATTTTCAATCTTCCTCTGCTTGAATTTGCTATATATTTTTATTTCTCTATTTTTTTTGTTTTGAATTTCCTATAGTTTGAATTTTGAAAAAATATTACACGGAAATGCTGATTTTGTACTCATCTTCATTCTTCCACACAAGGTTTTGTGACCAGAGATTAGTCATTTAGCAATTCAAGCCTACAGTAAAGAAACTAGTCTCAGAGTTGGGCAACTTGGTAAGTAAATAAATTTTCTTTTATGATTGTGCTTCAGCTGAACACTCACTGCCCAGTTAATTTCATGAATCTGTGTCTGTTAGTCTGTGTTTGTTTACATTCAAACTGAATCTGTGTCTGTTTACATTCAAACTGAATCTGTTTACATTCAATCTGTTTAATTGAATCTGTGACTGTATTTTATATTTTATTAATATTTTATTAATCTGAATCTGTTTAAAGGAATTCAATATTTTATTAAAAAGGTCCAAAATAAAGATTGACAAAATAGGAGAAAAAAAGGTTTAGAAATGGACTATAATTGCTATAATTGCTATAATTGCTATAATTGCTTTAATTTTGCTCTGTTATGTTATTTGTTTATTTTTCACTTTTGTTCCACAAGTTTGGTCATAAAAGAGAGATCTTCATTTTACAATTTCGACTAGTGTTTTTGGTGTCTTGTGTCAAATAAAATGAACTTGAGATTTCAATGACATTGTTTGGTATTGTTTGGTTTTGCTACTTTGGAATCTGATTTTCATAATTTTGCTTATGTTTGGTGCAACATGGAATGAAATGGACTATAATTGCTATAATTGCTTTAATTTTGCTTATGTTTGGTGTTTCATAATTTTGTGTTTTAGGCATATATAACGAAATTTTGTTCATAAGGTTTGATAGAACTAGAGTTTGTTATAGTTTTATGTATATCATTTCACACCTAGATTCAATTAGCAAAGATTCTGAAGAAGCAAAAAAATAGCAAGGGGAGTTTAATGTGTGTTTTGCTAGGAAATAATTTGAGAGAAGTGAGTGGATCTATAAGTGACACCGAAAAAACTTGAATGGTGTAGACTGTATTGTTTTAGACTAGCACAATACATTGATCTATAAGTGAGTGGATGTATACATATTACCCCTACTCTCTTTGTTGTGTCATGCTTAGTATCTAATCTTTTATTAAATGTCTTGTTTCTCAAATAATATTGTCATTTTCTACAAGTGCATATCTTGAGTTTTAGATCACTTTTTTGTTTTATTATTAAATTATTCTAGCTTAAGAAAGTTTGAAATCATTCATGCCTTGATGATTTATTTTGGCTTCTACAAGGGTATTAATATCTTTTGTAGCTTTATACTATTTTTGCTTAAAAGTATCCTTATTGTATGATTTTTAACCCTCAGGATAAAAGATGGAAATGCTGAAACACTCTATCCTAGATCATCCTTTGCCATCAATTGTACTGGTAAAGGTTTATTTACGTACATTTCTTTTGAGTGCACTATTTTTGTTCACTTCAAGGTGGTTTTGAAAATTTAAAGCTTCTTTGATTCTCTTTTCAGGTGATGTCTGTAAAGGAGATGTTGTTTTGTTTACACAGAAAGTATACAAGAAGTAACTCACTGGTTTCAGCTCTTGTTTTCCTTCTGTATATGAATCTCTTGATTTCCATCGTAGTTTGTAAATCATATTTGCTCGGTAAATGATGGAGCTAATTCCAAACAGGTTTATATCCAAACAGGTTTGGAAAGAGAACTATTGCTGGGAGAGTTGTTAAGGAAAGCTATGGTGCTGCCAAACAACAACATACATTTACAGTAAGTTTGGGACATGTGTAGTGATGACTCGCTCAATTACTCAAGCCTCTCTTTTGCTAATGAAATCAATAATCTAGTGTTTTTTTCCTTTTCAATTTCCTTGAGTTAAACATTGTCATAGTTCATCCCTTATAAGTTTTTTTGCACAAAAATTCAGGATCTCCCTCTATTTTGTCTTTATTAGAAGTTATTATTCTGCCCCTGTTTCTGTGGGTCACCTATTATTTCCTAACTAGTGACAAATGGTAGATGTCTCCAATTGAGGTTAGAGGATTAACACAAGTTGTGGAAGAAGGCAACTATTGATCATAAATCTAGAGACACTTTCTAAGTAGAGCAACCATATTTTTATGTGGATTCAATGTACCCCCAGTACTGTCACTACAAATCTACTACTGTTCTAGATGCCAGATTTTTACCATCTACCTTATCTTTTCTACTTTCACATAGGGATTAACCTGATGAAATGATGTCCTGACTGAACATATTCTATGTAACAGCATGAGGTGACATTGGATGAAATTTCAACATTATGCTGTTTGAAAGATGGATACCCTTGTTATGGTTATAATATTGTTATCTTCACTCTATTTATCCTTGTTTCTATGATCGGTAAAATACATCCTTTTCAGACTTTGATTATGATATATGTATTACTATTGTTCAATGAACTGACTGAAATGTTAAAACTATTTCCAAATATTCAGGTTTTATTTCAAATGCACTAAGTACTCTGCTGACGAAAAGGTAAGGTCATTTATGCTAGTTCATTATTTCAACCTTTTGGGTGTAAATGCATTTTGTGTAGGCCTTGAACAATGAGATCCATATGAGCTACTTTTTCTGCCTAAAAAAATATGATTTCAGCAAATAATGTCATGGTCCAACAGAAAATTGGGTTCATATAAGAGTTAAGATATACTAATTGAATGAATTGATAATTACAAGTCTCCTACTTCAATTTTTACGAATTGCTTTTATATGTTGTATGTGATGGATTTCATTGACATGCACAGAGAGAAGTGCTGGATAGTGAGGACCTGTTATTGTTTGTCACTTACATGGACAGACTTTAATTGTGGAGAATTTGCTATTTCAATAGAGTATTTTGTCATGGTTGAAAATCATATAATTCTCGTATTTTTGACAGTTACAATCTTTAAAGTATCTATCTGTGGCTGATCCTATTCCTATAAAGATGTGCTTCATCTCAAGTTATTAAATTAGGGAGCTGAAGGTTTAGATAAGGGGGTTGTATGCAAGTTGTTTCTTTTTAATTTAGTGTGTTGGGCTCTTATTATTTCCTCTACTTGGATTGCTCCCATACCAATTTGTAATTATTCAGGCTATGTGGTTTCTGCTTTTAAGACCAATAAGCTTTTTTGATCCTTGTTTGTTTTATAGTTTTTAGTGAGTTATATGTTGATATCATATGATTTTGATTGTCCATATAATACTCCATTTTATCATTTATGTGATCCTTTCTGCGTTGTTGCATATTGTCTTCTTTTGTGGTGTTGTTTTACTGATATTTGTGTGGAGAATCAAAATAATTATGTCATTTTTGGTGGCTGTGGGGAAAGGATTGGGGGCAGTTTAACAACTGGATAAATTACATTATTTTTGGTGTGAACTAAATGTAAGTTAATAACTTAATTAGTAAGTTTATTCATATGCTTCTGGCGGTTTTTAAATTAATTTGTTTATTTATTTTTCAGGTCAGAAATTTCTTGGAGAGATGCAAAATATAGTCAAAGAATTCAAGAACTTACTTTTTTCAAGTTTTTTATTTTTTATTTTTTAATGTATGTAATCACAGTTAATTTTTCTTTTATTAATTTCTTTGTATATATTTTTAAACATTTAACTTTCATTTATGAAATATATGATATTATTTCATTCAATATATGGTTGTGATTCAAAATATAGTACATAGTGTGTATTACATTATTCAAATGCGCGTGCAAAAATAATATTGATTATTTTTTAAATATGTCAAATTTTTTTTTATCACATGTTTTATTAGTTATTAATCACACTTAAAAGGTGTGATCTAAATGTTTTTAATCACACTTAAAAGGTGTGAACTAAAGTTTTTAATCACACTTAAAAGGTGTGATCTAAATATTTTTAACCACACTTAAAAGGTGTGATCTAAATATTATTAATCACACTTAAAAGATGTGATGAAAGCACTTTTTAATGACACTTAAAAACTGTGATTAAAAATGACCATTTTTAATCACACTCCTAAAGACCACACTATAATAAAACTTAAAAGATGTGATTAAAAAACATACATCACACTAAAAAAGTGTGATCTTTATCTATATTTGTAGTAGTGATGCCAGCAGGTTGCCATGCCATGCCTAGACCAAGGCCAAGGCAGCCTAGCCAAAGCCAGCAGCATGCCATGCCATGGCCAAGGCCAGCAGCATGCCATGCCAAGGCCAAGGCAGCACAGCGAAATGCAGCAACATGCCATGCCAAGCCAATGGCAGCAGGTTGCCATGCCACGCCTAGGCCAAGGCAGCCAGGCGAAGGCCAAGGCCAACAACATGCTATGTGAAAGCCAAGGCAGCCCAGCCAAAGCCAGCAGCATGCCATGCCAGGCCAAGGCCAGCAGCTTGCCATGCCATGCCTAGGCCAAGGCAGCCAGCCAAAGCCAGCAGCATGCCAGCCCTAGCCAATGCCGTCAGCTTGCCATGCCATGCCTAAGCCAAGGCAGGCTAGCCAAAGCCAACAGCATGCCATGCCAAGGCCAAGGCCAGCACCATGCCATGCCAAGGCCAAGGTAGCCCAGCCAAAGCCAGCAGCATGTCATGCCAAGCCAAGGCCAGCGGCTAGCCAAAGCCAACAACATGCCTTGCCAAGGCCAAGGCAGCCCAGCCAAAGCCAGCAGCATACCATGCCAAGCCAAGGCTAGCTGCTTGCCATGCCATGCCTAGGCCAAGGCAGCCTAGCCAAAGCCAGCAGCATGGCATCCCAAGGCCAAGGCCAGCAGCATGCCATGCCAAGGCCAAGGCCGCCCAACCAAGGCCAGCAGCATGCCATGCCAAGCCAAGGCCAGGAGCTTGCCATGCCATGCCTAGGCCAAGGCTACCTATCCAAAGCTAACAGCATGCCAGGCCAAGGCCAAGGCCAGCAGCATGTCATGCCAAGGCCAAGGCAGCCCTACAATGGCCAGCAGCATGCCATGCCATGCCAATGACAGCAGCTTGTCATGCCACGCCTACGCCAAGGCAGCCTAGCCAAAGCCAGCAGCATGCCATGCCAAGGCCAAGGCCAAACAGCATGCCATGCCAAGTTCAAGGCAGCCCCGCCAAAGCTAGCAGCAGACCATGCCAAGCCGATGCCAGCAGGTTGCCATGCCATGCCTAGGGCAAGGCATCCTAGCAAATGCCAGCAGCATGCCATGCCAAGGCCAAGGCCAGCAGCATGCCATGCCAAGCCAATGCCAGCAGCTTGCCATGCCATGCCTAGGCCAAGGCAGCTGAGCCAAAGCCAGCAGCATGCCATGCCAAGGCTAAGGCCTGCAGCATGCCATGCCAAGGCCAATGCAGCCCAACCCAAGCCAGCAGCATGCCATGCCAAGCAAAGGCCAACTTCTTGCCATGCCATGCCTAGGCCAAGGCAGCCTAGCCAAAGCTAGCAGCATGCCAAGCTAAGGCCAAGGCCAGCAACATGTCATTCCAAGGCCAAGGCAGCCCTGCAAAAGACAGCAGCATGCCATGACAAGCCAATGGCAGCAGCTTGCCATGCCATGCCTAGGCCAAGGCAGCCTAGCCAAAGCCAGCAGAATGCCATGCCAAGGCCAAGGCCAAGCAGCATGCCATGCCAAGGCCAAGGCTGACCAGCCAAAGCTAGCAGCAGGCCATGCCAAGCCTATGCCAGCAGGTTTCCATGCCATGCCAAGGCCAAGGCAGCCTAGCCAATGCTAGCAGCATGCCACACCAGGGTCAAGGCCAACAGCATGCCATGGCAAGCCATTGCCAGCATGTTGCCATGCCATGCCTAGGCCAAGGCAGCCGAGCCAAAGCCAGCAGCATGCCATGCCAAGGCTAAGGCCTAAAGCATGCCATGCCAAGGCCAAGGCAGCCCAGCTAAAGCCAGCAGCAAGCCATGCCAAGCCAAGGCTAGTTGCTTGCCATGCCAGGCCTTGGCCAAGGCAGCCTAGCTAAAGCCAGCAGTATGCCATGCCAAGGCCAAGGCCAGCAGTATGCCATGCCAAGGCCAAGGCCAGCAGCATGCCATGCCAAGGACAAGGCAGCCCAGCCAACGCCAGCAGCATGCCATGCCATGCCTAGGCCATGGCAGTTGCATGCCATGCTAAGGCCAAGGCGGCCCAGCCAAAGCCAGCAGCATGCCATGCCAAACCAATGCCTGTAGGTTGCCATGCCAAGCCAAGGCACACAGCTTACCATGCCATGCATAGGCCATGGCAGCCTGGCCAAAGCCAGTAGCATGCCAGGCTAAGGCCAGGGCAGCCCAGCCAAAGCCTGCAACATGCCATGCCTAGGCCAATGCAGCCAAGTTAAAGCCAGCAGCATGCCATGCCAAGGCAATGCCAGCAGGTTGCCATGCCATGCCTGGGCCAAGGCAGCCTAGCCAAAGGCAGCAGCATGCCAAGCCAAGGCCAAGGCAGCCCTGCCAAAGCTAGCTGCATGCCATGCCAAGCCAAGGCCAGCAGCTTGCCATGTCATGCCTAGGCCAAGGCAGCCTATCCAAAGCCAGTAGCATGCCATGCCAAGGCCAAGGCCTGTAGCATGCCATGCCATGGCCAAGGCAGCCCACCCAAAGCCAGCAACATGGCATGCCATGCCTAGGCCAAGCTAGCCTAGCCAAAGACAGCAGCATGCCATGCCGAGGCCAAGGCCGGCAGTATGCCATGCCAAGGCAAGGTAGCCCAGCCAACGCCCGCAGCATGCCATGCCAAGCCAAGGCCAGCAGCTTGCCATGCCATGCCTAGGGCAAGGCATCCTAGCCAAAGCCAGTAGCATGCCATGCCAAGGGAAAGGCTAGTAGCATGCCATGCCAAGGCCAAGGCAGCCCAGCCAAAGCCAGCAGCATGCCATTCCAAGCCAAAGGGCTGCAGCTTGCCATGCCATGCCTTGGCCAAGGCAGCCTGGCCAAAGCCAGCAGCATGCCATGCCAAGGACAAGGCCAGCAGCATGCCATGCCAAGGCCATGGCAGCCCAGCCAAAGCCAGTAACATGCCATGCCAAGCCAAGGCCAGTAGCTTGCCTTGCCTTGCCTAGTCCAAGGCAGCTTAGCCAAAGCAAGCAGCCTGCCATCCCAAGGCTAAGGCGAGCAGCATGTCATGCCAAGGCCAAGGCAGCCCAGCAAAAGCCAACAACATGCCATGCCAGGCCAATGCCAGCAGCTTGCCATGCCATGCCTATGCCAAGGCAGCCTTGCCAAAGCCAGCTGCATGCCATGCTAAGGCAAAGGCCAGCAGCATGCCATGCCAAGGCCAAGGCAGGCTAGCCAATGCCAGCAGCATGCCATGCCAAGCCAATGCCAGCAGCTTGTCATGCCATGCCTAGGCCAAGGCAGCCTAGCCAAAGCTAGCAGCATGTGATGCCAAGGCCAAGGCCAAGGCCAGCCGCATGCCATGCCAAGGCCAAGGCAGCCCAGCCAAAGCCAACAACTTGCCATGCCAAGCCGAGGCCAGCATCTCGCCATGCGATGCCTACGCCAAGGAAGCCAACCCAAAGCCAACAGCATGCCATGCCAAGGCAAAGGTCAAGGAGCATGCCATGCCAAGGTCAAGGCCGCCCAGCCAAAGGCAGCAGCATGCCTAGCCAAGCCAATGCTAGGGGCTTGCCATGCCATGCCCAGGCTAAGGCAACCTAGCCAATGCCAGCATCATGCCATGCCAAGGCCAATGCCAGCAGCATGCCATGCCAAGCCAATGACAGCAGGTTGCCATGCCATGCCTAGGCCAATGCAGCCTAGCCAATGCCAGCAGCATGCCATGCCAAGGCCGAGGCCAACAGCATGCCATGCCTTGGCTAAGGCAGCCCAACCAAAGCCAGCAACAAGCCATATCAAACCAAGGCCAGCAGCTTGCCATGCCATGCGTAGGCTATGGGAGCCTAGCCAAAGCCCGCAGCATGCTATGCCAAGCCCAAGGCTAAGGCCAAGCAGCATGCCATGCCAAGGCCAAGGCAGCCCTGCCAAAGCCAGTCGCATGCCATGCCAAGCCAATGCCTGCTGGTT